AATGTTACTCATAATCACATCGAACTGATTTCAAAAACTGTTCCAAGTAACACTTTGACAATATTTCATATTTAGGATGAAAAGAACTATAAATAAAAATTAACTCTAGTCAGTAAGTTTTTCCCAACAGTATGAGTTAGCTACAGTCTGAAATTCTTTTCTGTGTTTTCTAGAGATTGAGAAAATAAGTAAATATTTTTAGAATAATGGGAGAAAGATCTTAACACTGTTAGAGAATAAAGTAACAAATATGGAGAAGGGGAGGACTAGAATGAATCCAAGATATTGGATTAAAATGATCAGTATGATTCATGATTAGATACATACACGTACACATAACTACATGCATACACATACAGAGACATATATGTTTATACATATACATGTTTCCTAGTTCTGTCCACTGAGACAGCCTGAAAACAATAACTTCAGTAGCAACGAGTACACCTAGCACTCTGATCTTGGTTTCTAAATACAACTCTGCACCTTAAAAACCTAGGACTCTTCAAAGAAATCACCGATTCCAGTACTAGAACAAGGAAAACAAAGGAGCCTGGACAATATTCTTGAACCAAAGAGAAGTGCTCACAGAATGGTGGGAACACGTCGAACATCTAAACAAGCCAACACGACAGGACTTACACTGGCCAGATCCGGGGAAAATGTGAGCTCAAAACAATAATGGCCGCGATGGCAAACCAGTTAACTGATCCATATTAAAATAAGTTTTTAAAACTTATTTTTAAATTGTATTATTAGTTTCAAGTATACAGTACATTGGTTAGACATTTACATAGTTTACAAAATGACCCTCCTGATTGTTCTTTCTCTCCTCTGGCTCTCCACCTAGCCATTACATTAATGGTGACTGCATTTCCCTATGCTGTGCTTCCCATTCCCATGACCATCTATCAACTACAATAAGCAAATAAATGAGGGAGAGAGGAAAGCCCTTCCTTACAGTAAAATACCAAATATGAAATATATAGAGAATAGAGTTTAAAAAAATCAGTATTTTGCAGCCATCACAGTAATAACCAAGCCAGGTAGGAAGAATCAATGGTTCCTAAAACTAATGGAAGTTTGATGAGGAGAAGGATATTAACAGTTGCAAATTATTTCTGCATTGTATTAATTTCTAAGGGGAAGAGTGGAGGAACCAGGCAGACAACACCTGAGCAACTGACCAAAGTTCATAACATCAGTAATAAGACGAACCCAAACCATATGCCTCCTGATGCAACACACTGAGGTCACAATATCATTTATGTAGTATTCCTGCCCAAAACATATAACCAATCATTAGGAGGCATCCAACTTAAATTGAAGTGACTTTTACTCTGCAAAATGGCAACGTCATGAAGGACAAAGATAACTGTTCCATATTAAAAGAATCTAAAGAAATATGACAATTATATACATGATTTTGAACCAAGGTTTTTTTTTTCTTTTTTTGGTTATAAAGAATATTATTAGATAATTGGTAAACTGAATAAAATCTCTAAATTATATAAGCATATTGGATCAAAGTTCCTGATTTTAATAGCTATACTGTGATTATGTTGGAGATTGTCCCTGTTCTTAGTAAATGTACACTGAAGAGGCATCATGTCTGAAACTTACTCTCAAATAGTTCAGAAAAACAAAATAGTATTTATGGATGGAGAGAGAATATAATAAAATGAATGCAGTAAAATGGCAACAACTGGAGAATCTGGATGAAGGGTTCTTTGTACTATTCTTGCTACTTTTCTGTAATTTTGAAATCACTTCAAAAGTTACATGTATTCATTTCATACCTATGAATATTGTATTTACATACAAAACTCAAAAAGCTACAACATTCAGGTTCCAGGAAAACATCTAGCCACAGCTGAAATTGTTGGTAACCTCATCTGTTGTTCTGCTCATTCCATTTATTCACATAGTCTACCCCAAGGTGAACACCTCTCTCTTCATACTAAAAAGCCTTTTGAAATATATTCCTTATCAACTTGGTACTTACAGCAAGAACATGACTTATTATTTCTAAAAAATAATTCCTCCATTCACCGACCTGGCTTAATTTTTCCTAAATGCTGTCTTGTACACGATAAAGTTGCAATTCATGGTGCAGTCGTCCCCACATTTAATACATTCATAGGTTTGTATTCTTATATATATTATTTGTGGACTCTTTTCCATAATCAGAGGCGGCTTTCTAGTACTTTATGACGATCAGAGAGTTATTCTTTGGTATATATTCTCTAATATCACATGCTTGTGACTTTTGATAAAAGTTTTTCTCACATTTATTACTTTTATATGATTTACTCTGGTACAAATTCTGATGCATCTGAAATTTGATTTCTCAATAAAAGTATTGCAATATTTGTCTTGTATATAGTTTCTTCCTGTGTGCGTTTCTCTGATATAAAATAATGTACACTTCTAGAAGGAAGTTTTCACAAAATTACTACATTCGGTGCTTGTCTTTCTGTTGTATGTGCTATGAATTTTGTGAACTTTTGCATGTTTGTCAAATTCCTCATCCGTATGCATTTTAGATGAACGATAAGCTGCAAGCTATTACCGTAGATTTTATATTTACTGAATTACTGATTTCTCTCAATTTAATTCTCTAGGAAAGGAAATATCTGAGTGGAAACTTCTTTATTCACTGTATATATAAGAATTCTTTCCTATATGCCTGTAATCTCATGTTAGAATGACATTGAGTGCTTTAGTTTTCTCTGTATCCATGTGACTTCTCTCCTATGCGACATCTTTGGTGTCTGAGATGTGACATTAAAAAATTTCCCACATTCACAGGGAAGGTGTGGCAACTTCCCTGAACGGCTCTGCCTGGGAGAGCTATGAGCTCCACGTGGCCGGTGGCAGGGCCCAGTCATCAGGGTAGAAAAAAAAATTTTTCCCACATTCACTGCATTCATAGGGTCTGTCTCCTCACGTGTTCTTTGGGATCTATCTAGACTAGATCCCAAAGTTTTCCCACATTTTCTACACTCATAGGGTTTCTCTCCTGTGTGCATTCTCTGGTGTATAATGAGTGGTGATCTAGTGCTGAAGGCTTTCTGACATTCACCACATTGGCAAGGCTTCTTTCCAGTATGAACTCTCTATTGTCACGTGAGTTCTGACTTCCGGTTGAAAGCTTTTGGACATTGTACATGAAAAGAGTTTTTCTCCAGTGTGGCTTCTCTGATGTTCCATGAGCTGTGACCAGCGGAGAAACGCTTTCTGACACTGACTACATTCATAGGGCTTTTTCTTGTATGTGTTTTCTGAAACACATGGAAAGAGTTCTCAAGTTCTCAGTGGAGAAATAAACACAATAGAAGAGAACCCGATGGAAAATTTACTATTGAAAAAAAAAAACCTGAAAAATGTATTAGAGCTACTACATAACAGAATGAAGATGCCAAAAGATGCAATGAAATTGAACAGCAACAGAAAATAATTTACTCTAATTGTAATTACTTTAAAAAGACAATGTTTACGTACTTTGATGATGCTCAAAAAAATAACTGTATAAATAACTATGGGGTAAAGGGGAAAAGGAATATTATCAATACAATTGAAACAGTGTATAGGCTCCTCTCTGATCAAATCTTCCCTACTCCCAGACCCCAAACAGTAATAACAGCTCCTATTACTTTTTACCTTCTTATTGCCTGTTTTTAAAAATTGTCTACACTTATCTTTATGTAGGAAAAAATATAGTTTGGTGGATTTCTCAAGTTTAAGTAAAAAAATATTTGATCCTTTTTGGAGAGAGAAATCCTATCAGTAATTTAAAGAGTTAACAATTAAAAGGTAGTTAACTACTGAAAGGACTCCACACAATACTGAAATAGCAAATGCGAACACACACACACACACAAAAAGGTTACTACCTCCAGAACTGAGACAAAGACCAGAAAGGGGAGAAACTAAGAAGTTGGAAGAGGGTTTCTCCCGATCCCAAAGTCAAATGCAGTTCATTGGAGAAACACAGCTGCCACAGGTCCATGCAGCTTGCCAAGGGCAAAGTAACTTAAAGTGGGAGCAGCCTACAAGCGGCAGAGCTCATAGAAAGGTGCCAGTTAGGCATACTTGGTCCACGTGGTGTGGCCACACTGATGATGGAGGAGCTCACTGGAGGCTACGGGAGAGATGGGGCTCATCATCAAGGAACACTAAGGTGAAGGCCTGTGGAACTCCAGCTTGCCAATCTGCTGGCAGCCACAGGTACGCAGTGTCAGAAATGCATTAAATTCTTGGACACCCTGCTGATAACTGAGATTTGTTGGTGTGGGAAACACACACACACAGAAACGCTGGAGTTGGTACCAAAACCAATGTACCCTCCCCTTCACAAAATGTTTAAGTCCTAACCTCCAGTACCTCAGAATGTGACTATTTGCAAAGAGAGTCGCTGCAGATGTAATTAGTTAAGATAAAGTCACGCTGGGCTAGGGTGGGCACCTAACCCAATATGACTGGTTTTATAAAATAGCCATGTGAAGATGGAGAATATAAGAGAGGAAGAAGATAATGACAAAGACAGAGATTGGAGTTATGCAGCTGCAAGCTAAGGAATGCCAAAACTGCCAGCAAGTCACCAGAATGGGGAAGGCAAAGGATTCCCCAAGAAGTTTCAGAGAGAGCACGGCCCTAATGACACCTTGGTTTTGGATTTCAAGTCTCCAGAGCTTTCTGTTGTTTTAAGCCACTCCGTTTACATATAGTACTTTGTTATAGAAGCCCCAGAAAACTAATAAACTAGGTTTTATGGGGTAAAGTGTGGGGAAGCAAATCTGGCCTAGCTCTAAGCCATATTTTTTTATGAGCAATACCACCGACCAAAGTGACATTTCAATCTTTATTACTTTGAAAATAGTAGCTGCTTCCAGTTTTCAGAACTCAGGGGGGGAAAAGCTGTGATTACTCATCACTCTTAAATCTCAATATTTTAAAGGTTTTTGTTTGTTTTTATGACAACCAGAAGACAATTTTTTTTAACGTTTATTAATCTAAAAGGCTGAAAAGAACTACCATCCATTTATGTATACTGGTAAACAGTATGTATAAAACAAACAAAAATATAAATGGCGTTAAGTTACAGTCTTGCTTAATCTTAAGCCTAATTACTTCCCTTGAAGAAATCTACACTGGCATTTTATGATACACGAAAATTTACAACGTTGCCATTTGTTATGGATATCACACACATAAAAATGGAACAAGATTTTCACGGTACAAACTTTCCTATCATCTTATGATCTCCAAAAGTGATGATATACGTTCTATAAAAATATTCAGACACAAAGCAAATACACACACGCGGGACCTTTAATTTACTGCTTTGACTATACAGTATATTTAAGCATGAAACAAAGTGTCCTTTGGCATGCTAAAGTTGTCGCTTTTTCATAAATGACTACTTTTTTGTTACATTAAAAATACATTAATATAAATACATTAAGAACAAAACTTCTATTGTAATGTTGTTTATATGTAAATATCCTTTTACACCATCACACTATACTAATTTTCCTTAATAAATATAACCTGATGCGCAGTCGATTTGAACTTCACACCAGAGTCATCCCTTTTCACAAGTCTTCACTCATCTGTATTCTTTGGTATGAAAACTCATTTGTATGGAAGGTATTCCAAGATTCACAACGTTCATGAGATTTTTTCTCAGTGAAAACTGAATATAATCACGTGTCAAAAATATTTGTTGCACTCAGGTTTCATTTATGTGTGATGTATAATAGGATTTTTCTTCTCCAGAAATGATTTTGACTTTTTAACTCATTTGTATTGCCTTTCTCTAATGAAATGTAGGGCTGTGTTGGTGGCAAATAATTTTCCTATATTCACTGCATTTAAGAGATTTCTCTCCTAAATAAGTTTTCTGAAACTTACAAAGGCCAAAAATAATGAAAAAGTATCCTAACTTTCATTCATAGGGTGTCTCTTGTGTTAATTCTCTTGTATTCACAGAGATTTGACATCTCACTAAAGTCTTTCCAGCACTCAATGTGTTTCTGAGATTTCTTTCCCATATGAATTTCTTCATGTGAAGAGAGAAAGAACTTCACAGAGACAGTTTTCCCACATCCACTACACTGATAAGGTTTCTCTCCTGCATGGCTTCTCTGATGGTCACTGAGGTATGATTTCTCAAAATAGGATTTCCCACATTGAGTGCACTGAAATGGTTTCTCTCCTGTGTGACGTCTCTGATGTCTAATGAGCTGTGACTTCTGGTTAAAGATTTGACCACATGGAACGCATCTATAGGGTTTCTCGCCAGTGTGGCATCGTTGGTGGATAATAAGATGGCTTTTTTGGCGAAAAGTTTTTCCACATTCATTGCATCTGTGGGGTCTCTCTCCTGTATGAATCAACTGATGTCTACTGAGCATTGCCATACTGCTGAAAGCTTTTTGGCATTCAGGACAGACAAAGGGTTTCTCTCCTGTATGTGTTCTCTGGTGTACGATGAGCATTGCCTTTCGCACGAAAGCTTTTCCACATTCACTGCATTCATACGGTTTCTCTCCTGTATGAGTTCTCTGATGGACAATGAGATGTGACTTGTCTATAAAAGCTTTTCCACATTCACTGCATTCGTAAGGCTTCTCTCCTGTATGAATTCTCTGATGTGTTATAAGAGATGACTTTTTATTAAAAGCTTTCCTACATTCCCTGCATTCATACGGTTTCTCTCCTGTATGAGTTCTTCGATGAACAATAAGCTGTGAGTTGTCTATAAAAGCTTTTCCACATTCACTGCATTCATAAGGCTTCTCTCCCGTATGAATTCTCTGATGTGTTATAAAGTGTGACTTTTTGTTAAAGGCTTTCCCACATTCCTTGCATTCATAAGGTCTTCTTCCTCTATGATTTTTCTGATGTAGAATAAGTTGTGACACATGTATAAAATCTTTTCCACATTCACGGCATTGATAAGGTTCCTCTCCTACATGAATTCTCTCATGTGTTATGAGGTGGGACTTTTTATAGAAGGCATTCCCACATTCTCTGCACTCATGGGATTTTTCTCCTGTATGAATTCGCTGGTGAACAACAAGTTGAGACTTGCTACAGAAGGCCTTTCCACATTCTCTACACCCAAAGGGTTTATCTCCTGTATGACTTCTTCGATGGATAATCAAGTTTGACTTCTGCATAAAACCTTTTCCACAATCGCTACACTCAAAAGGTTTCTCTCCTCTGTGCATTTTGTAATGTAACTTCAGCTTTGTCTTCTCCCTGTAAGCTTTTCCACATTCTTTACATTCATAAGGTTTCTCTCCTGTATGAGTCCTACGATGCAGAATGAGATGATAGTTTGTTCTGAAGGATTTCTGACACTCGATACATCCATACGGTTTCTCTCCTGTATGAATTCTCTGATGAAGAGTGAGATGACATTTTGTACTGAAACCTTTCTGACATTCACTGCATCTGTACGGCTTCTCTCCCGTATGAGTTCTCTGGTGTATTATGAGCTTTGACTTATACCTGAAGGATTTTGGACATTCACTGCATTCATAAGGTTTCCCTTCTGTGCAAATTCTGTTGTGTCTTTTAGGATTTGTCACCGGGCTGAAAGCCTTCACATGTAAATTATGTTCGTAATACTGGGCTCGGGCATGGGAGAGTTCATGTAGAGAATGGAAAAATGATTTCCCAGGACCATCTGACTCATCAGAGTTTGTTTCTACATAGTTTTTACTCTGAAAATCTGAATCTGAATTTTGTTTCAAACTTATTCCTCTTGAAACACATTTATGGGTTTCTTCTATAAATGGGAAAAAAATTTTGCTGAGAGAAAATATTTTCCCCAGTGCATTATTTTCATGATCTCTCTCCACAGGTTTGTCTTTCACAATATCTTCCTGATACCAATCATTAACTTGCCATATTACTTCTAGGGGGGGAAAAATTCAATGAATTTTACCATTATCATAAAATGGAGGGAGATGGAATCTCAAGTCAATATTCAAAGAGAATGAAGAAAGTGATACAGCAGGTGAACAATGTAAGTCTGAGACATTCAATAAAACAACAGTAATAATAATGAACTGAAGGGCATGGGTGTCATCAAACTTCGAAACAAATCTATAAATGTTTAAAAGCATAATATAAAGGTATGTGAATATGGATAAAAGGAGAAAGAAGCTAGCTGTGTCTAGCAGGTCGCAACAGAAGAAGAACTATGCAAAAGAGGAAAGACCACATGAAATAAGCAGAGATCTGACTCAAGGTAAATAAAACGAGGTACAGGCAACATTCATTCGAAAGACTTCTTTTCACTCAAAGTCACCTCTAAAGGTTCAGAGACTATGAGAAAAATATTAAAATAAGAAAAGTCTCACATCAATAAACGATTGTTACTTTGCATCCGCTAATTCCCACTGCACTGATTTTACTCACCTGAGCTAAAATGACTTGGAAATTCCCTCTCTACCATTCCTTGTTCTTCTTTCTCCCAGTGGACCACAGCTCCTGGCTTGGCAGCTTGATAACCTGTCAAAGAGTAATCACAGAGAACCTGAGCAGACTTGGGGCCTATGAGGAAAAGTTCTGTTTCAGGGAATGTATAGTTTCAAACTCAGCGAAATGAAACTTTTCATTTGGAAAAATGACAGTAAGTACAGTCACTGTTGATCATAAAGAAAATAAGTTCTATCACCGACACGAGTCCAAGTCCAAAATCATTAAGGATATCTGAATACCCATAAATTGTAGCAATGAAAAAAGACAAGCAATTAATGGGCTCGTGCTGAAATATTCAGGAAAGTTCTCTTTACCCAATGACATTAGGTTGCTATAATTTTCCAACATCACATCCCGGTAGAGGTTCTTCTGAACTGTGTCTAGTAGCTGCCACTCTTCCCGGGTGAAATCCACAGCCACATCTTTGAATGACAATAAGCCCTGTTATAACATAAACCTTTTTAGTCTGGAGTTAATATACTGAGATAAAATGTAAAATATTTATACTATGAAAATTTATAAATAAATATTTTTCTGTATCTAGTTTTGATTCACACTGGCTAAATTCATTAAAACTATCCTCTTTGCACAGTCTTCATTCACTTCACTCATTCATTCACCCAAAGTAAAATGTTAAACTCCCTAAAAACCATCTTTGACCCATCTTAAGAGCACTAAATGTTACCTACTATACATTTTGCAATAATTAAAAAAAAGAGAGAGAAAATAAATAAATTCGTGTGCTTCCTCCTTACATACAAAGTAAGTCTTGTAACATTTTTACTCATTTTGTGATGGTTTCCAGTATTACCACAGAAAAGTTTGCAACTCAGTTCTGGACCATGCTGCTTATGTGGCAATGTTCTAATTATAGCACCTTGCAGGACTCTATGACATGCAGATAATCTCCCTTCCTGATGGCTATTCTGGACCATTTATTCTGTCTCTCAGTCTAAGCACATCTCTCCTGGCCACAGTGTTTTTTCTATCTACCTACCTATATATTATTCTCTTTGTATATAAACTTCCAGAAGTCTACTGGATAACAAACTGGGAAATAAACAGCTCACCTGGAACTTGGTCATTTTTAGCAGCTTTCAGAACATGGCCACCGCTTTTGGCATCTGTCCTAAAATCCTGATACTGGTGTCTCATCAACGGTATCCTCAGCAAGGATTAATTTCTGGACTTGAGCTCTACTTTTTTTCCTTTACAGGAGCTACCTCATACTAGAAAGCCAGCATCTACAAATTTAAGGAAAAATTTGTTTGGCATGAAAATAGTAACAAAAGCAAGTTTCTATACATGCAAGGAACTGTTTCTAGCATGTTCTTTTCTCACTTAACATTCACAACAACGCTATGAGGTACAGACTATAATTATTCAATTTCAGAGAAAACTAAGACAGGCACCTAGCTAAAAGCCACACAACTAGTAATTCAGGGAGCAAGGATAAAACACAAACCCTCATAATGAATAAATCCTCTGATTCCTGGGAGAATTACCAGAATTTTCCTTCATCTTAACCAACTTTTTTAAAAGGTGGAAATATCTAGAACAACTATTTTCCAGACACAGAAATCAGAGAAGAGGAAAAACAAACAAAGCAAGAACTTTGTATGCTGCAGCTCACTGCCTGGAGATTCTCCAGGCCACACACAGCACAGAGAGAAGGAGCCCAAAAATGTCTGGCAGTCTTGCTGAGTTAATGACACAGAATTCAGAGTCTGAGGAAGCAAAGGTGGTGAGTTTTTCAAGCAGTACACCAGGAGAGTGAGAGAGACACAGACAGACAGACAACTCACTCTGTAGAGGGTTTCCTTGAGTCTCTGAACCACCAATTAATAAACATTAATTGCAATTTCCTATCCAAACAACAAAAAGATTTAAAAGAAAACAAAAACACTTTACAATACCAACAAAACCTATTAGGTACCTGGAAGAAAAATGTACAAAATTAATTTTGTTGTAGCAAAAAAGCATATAAATTATAGCGAATCATGGCCAGTCAAATGAAGAGGCAGAATACAGTGATGTCTGGGAGGGTCCCAAACCAGAAGCTTCCACTGTCCTTTTCCCTTGGAGTCAGGACACATTCATTACTCATCCAGTGTATCTGTGTGTCAGGACACATTAGTCATCTAGTGTATGCAGGGTACTGCCAACCACAGAAGCTCACCTGAGCTTCAGTATCTATAGTTTTTATTAGAGTTTCATTAAATAAGCATGATTAAAGAACCAATGGCCACATGACTCATCCTCCAGTGACTATCCTCCTAGAGGTTGGGCTGATGTCACCTAGCTTAAAGCCCCAAACCTCTAATCATTAAAGATGTAGAAAAACCTGGCACCCTGTATGTGGAAGCATTATATAATAGAACATTATTGGGGAAGTTTAAACTTAAGTCAGAAGCCTTTGAAATATGCATTTAATCTGATCTACTTTTATAAATTAAAGAAGAAAAACATCCACGATATATAATTCAGTTTAAAAATACATCTGAAAACATCACAGGTGATTTTATTCTGCTTTTTATTAATGATAAGCATTCAATAACATTGTGATAGATCTCCATTTAATATCAAACAAACTTATAAAGAAGATATACAATATACAAAAATAAGTTAAAATTTTAAATTTAATAAAATAATAATAAAAATAAGTTAGGTTTGTCTTAGAAAACTCCCATTGGAAAGGTACACATTTGAATAATAATAGCTACCCTTTGTCAAGTATCTATCGGTTATAAACTTAATATTGTGTCCCCCGATTCGTATGCTGAAACACTCCCCGATGTGATATTTGGAAATGCAGCCTTTGCGGGGTAATTAGGGTTAGATGAGGTAGGACCCTCTGAGGATCTGTGAGGTGGATAGCAATCTGTTTGAATGGGAAAACTGAGACTCACAGAGAACTTGGTAACTTACCCAAGTCGCACAAACAAACGGCAGAATTGATATAAAAGACTAGAACGTGATTTCAGGCGCGTACGCACACCTGTACACTGGTTGGCACGCTGACCGTCACACTCTATGTATTTATGGCACTACTTTCACAACTCACGGATCTAGACGGCGGGTATACGCGTGACCATTTTGGTACTCTTCGACTTTTCTGTACGCTTGAAATTCTTCAGCACAAAACGTTGGGAAAAGTAATGTCCCATCGCTTAGTACACACTCGAATGCCTGTCCCCTCGAGGCCTCAAATTCCAACCTCTCACAAGCACATCCATCCTGCCCCGCGCCCTGCGCCTGGCTCTGCCACCCACTCGCTGCTCTTCGGGCGCCATGTCCATACTCAGGCTCAGACCACCGGAGTAGCACATGACCAGCCCCCACCCCTATCCCCACCGCCGGCACCCACGGCCCCTCCGTCGCTGGCCCTCCCAACGCCTCTCCGCCGCCTGCGGAGCGACCTGGAACCGACCTGTCACTGTCACCAAGAATGGTGGATGTCGCGCATCTTCTTCGACCCACTCTCCTAAACTCTGATGCCCGCGACAATTACGAAGCTGCCTTAAACAACGCCACCCGCGTCCCCGCGTCCCCGCCTCCACGAACGCCCACCACACACCACATCACACGTCACGAAATCCCCACGGCGCCGGATTCTTAGCGCCGCTCGCACGAATCTAACCTCACCTGTCCGCCAAACGTGACCTCGCGAGGAAAGCCGCGCTTCAGCACGCAACTTCCGCTTCCGCTTCCGCTCCGCCGTTTGCGGGTTCGCGTCGCGGGCTGTTGCGCAGACTCAAGGGCATTTGGAAGCGAACGATGTATCTCGGAACGCTGATTCTAGTCTCCGTTGGCATTCCCGCGGGGCATTATGACCGGCGCCGTTTTCCTGACGGTGTGCTGGGAGCGGCCATCTTCGACCGCGCGCCGCCATCTTGGATACCTGGCCTACGGGGAGCGAGAGGGCCCATTTCGCCAGGGATACCTGGCCTACGGGGAGCGAGAGGGCCCATTTGGCCACGTTCAAGATCATCCCATCCTGTCTCTTATTTTGAGGACCTGTTGCCTCTGGTTCTTCCACTTCCACAGCGGCTGTCGGCACCGTCAAGCATGCTTAGTACCATTTCAGCACGCTCGCCCGGAGTCTTTCGATCGGACCCGAGAACTAAACCAATCACAGGCAGAACATGGCCGCGCCCGCGCTCTCTCAGAGCCCTTCAGAAACCGCAGGGAAGACGCGGCCATATTGAAAACTTTTGCGTCCGTACAGTAAAAACGGTCTTGTGGAGGGTAATTTGGGAACTTTCAGTAACGTGTTTGGGAAAATGGGCATTAAGAGACTAGAACTGAATCCGGAAGAGGAGAGGGCTCTGGATGTGTGCTTCGTGATGAGACACAATGAGGCGTTAAAGACTGGGACAAAAAGGGTTGTGGCTCGAACCGTGACAACTACAGTCCACAAGAGAATATTATCTGTGTCTGATACATCGAAGAAGGATCCTGTGTGCCCTTAATAGTCACGACCCGCCCAGTCATTTGTTTCTGTAAACACTGCGATACAGGGGTCGGCTTTGCCCCCTCCGCATAATTGTCCCAGCAGCATGATTTAAAGTCAATCTCTTCTCCACTGCTTGATAGTGCCATAAGTCATAAATCAAGTGTCTGTATCTGTATAGCTCTGATCTAAAAAGCTGTTCTGTTCCAATGATCTGTTGTTTATTCCTGGGCCAATACTACTGTTTTAGCTATGGGAGCTTTCTAAGTCATAACCTGATAAAGCAAGGTCTCCTACCATTTTCTTAAGAATGACTTTGCTTTTTTTGGCCCTTTATATTTTCAAATAAAATTTTAACTCACCTTGTCGACATCCACCACATAGGAGAGAAACCTTATACAAGCAGTGATTGTGGGAAAGACTTCAGAAATAAGTCATGCCTCAATAGACATCAAACAACTCGTACAGGTGAGAAATCCTATCGGTGCGATGATTGTGGAAAAGCCTTCAACTTGTCCTGCCTTGTGTGTCATAAGAGAATGCCACATGCAAGAAAGAAACATGTAGGTTCAGCCAAGTTGGAAAATTCATTCTGTAAGAGTCACAGTTCATCACAGCAAAGTGATATCATAAAGGAGAAAAACCCTGTTGGTACAGTGACCGTGCGGATGTCTTCTGTGGCAGCTCAAAGATTTCATCACACTTCAGTGGGCTTCTATCAGTTAGGAACGTGTCCATCGTGCAACAGCCAGGTGCCAGAGGTGCACCATCAGCAGAAGATAGAATTTGCTCAGAGAAAATTCTGAGCAAATGATGTGGTAGTGCCTTCGGCGACCAATTATGTCATATTTTATGTCACACAGGAATAAACTGTGATACAATCAAGGTGGAAAACCTTTGAATAAAACCTAGCTCATTATATGGCTGATAAGTGTATACTGAGACAAGCATGATCACTAGGAGAGCATTTTGTGGAAAGATAGACCCTATCAGTGCTTCGAAGGTCACATATCAGTGAGCTCATTGGTGGTAGAAATATGACCGTGGAAAGTCTTTTCTCAGCATAAGACTGAATAGGTGGCAAAGAGACACAGGAGAGAAACTGTTGGACCTTTGAAGGCAATGAACGTGGCAGGGTTTTCAGTGGTGTGTTCTGCCCCATCAGTCGGCAGAGGAAATCCTAGAAATAAAACTTGGGACACACTAACTATGGAACATCTTCAGCAAAATATCAGAAAACTCATTAAGCAAATAAGGCTTGTGAAGATGAAGATTTTAGGGACTACTGTCACAATTCTAACAATATACTGTGATCAGAAAACTCATTAAGCAAATAAGGCTTGTGAAGAAGATTTTTAGGGACTACTGTCACAATTCTAACAACATACTGTATCAAACTCCTAGTTGATAAGTCAATGACTCCTCAATTTAAGGGAGGTTGACTATGTTACGCATCATTGGTTAAAGTTATAACACAGCGCACCTTCCCCTCCTTGGGGGCATGAGTCTTTTCCCCATGTAGGAACATTATATAATTAGCTCTTGCATTTCTTCTGTTCTAAATGTATTCAGTTTGTTTCAGACTACTGAAGTTCTTCAAAAGTAAACAGTTCATTCAATTATGTAACAGCTTGTTTGAGTGTGCTAACTTTATAAATATGAACTGGAGGAACAAAGCTTAAAACTCATGAATACCTTATCAGCCACGCTCTTACCCTAGAAGATAGTTCCCATCTATGCACACGCCACCCAGAAAATCTTTAACAACTGTTCTCTTTACCTGGTACTGTTCTAGGACCTATAGATGATGACGGTAATGAACTAAACAAAGAAGTTCTTTGAGCTAGGAATTTTTTTAAAGTTAGATTACATGCATATAGCGATTTTATCCTCCAGCAACTGCAATCAAAAGATATATACACCTATGTTAGTTGAGAAAGACATACAGTACAAGGAACAAAATATCCTGATAATTTCTTATTCAAGGGGCTTAGTATTATTTGCATGACAAGGAGGAAAGAGTTCACTTAATTGTAAGCATATAAAATAGGTTAGGGATATTTTTTTTAAATGTTCATCTTTCTACCTAGATTACAAATTCCTTGATATAGTTTATAGCTAATCACGTATTCCCTAGCACATAGCAAAATAGAAATGAATTATATGTAGATTTGAAAGATGAATAAATGATCTTATGGACCAATCAAAATTTGTCACCAAAGGAATGGAGCCATTTGAAAGAAATTCTAAGGATCGCTATTCTAAGAAACATTTTTTTAAAAATCCTGAATAGAGGCTCCTGTCAAAATAAAAAGGGGCAGATCATAGAAAGGATAAGATCTGGAGAATAAACTCAATTAATGGAAAAAAATAACTAAAAACGGAGGACAGTATGCGAAATGCATGGTGAGATCACTGGGTTGTCTTGGAGAAGAACACTTATATTTGTCTACAGGTCTATCATCTTTTAGAGCCACCACTATTTCAAATATCGTGGCTCCTCTGTGACATGACAAATTGAGGCAAGCGATGTAGCCTCATCATTCCTTCTCACTGTCCTGTGAATGAGGCCCTAGTCTTCTCTTCATACTCAGGGTTCTTTGTCCTTTGATTTAATAAAGCTATATCCAGCTTAAAGTACAATGAGTCCTTCTTATCAGGAAAATTGGAAATTTGCTCTGAAGTGGCTGTCTCATCATTGAATTCCCAACTCTAGATGTTTGAATCACGCTCTGAAAGGTGAGTGTTGCACGTGTCCCTCAGTGTTCAGGTTAGCCTGGCAACCCATACGGGGCCCTTACTGTTCAGTTCTAGGAATGAGTCAAACTGACCTTGCCTTGGCCAGATCTGGAGATTCACAGGTCAAGAATTGCGGGTCTGCTTGACGGACCACTTGATCCCACATGAAAACAGTGGGATCATAATTATATTCATTAGAACTCTCCTTAAGTGACAAAATACACTTTGATTAGCCCTTTAGTTCATACATTCACTTTCCAAATTTATATATAATTAGTATTTTTTTTTTACTGTGTTGGGAAATATAAAATCATGAAAATCAACATTTCCCAATATACTTTCTAGTACAATGGAAATGATAAGAGATTTTTTCATTCTCTCACTGTTTTCCTCATTCTGCTGTAGCCATCTGTCACATGACTCTCAAGTATGTGAAATGTGACTACTACAACAAAGGAAATGATTTTTAATTTATTGGTTTTCAGTGTTTTAAAACACTAAAGTTCAAGTAAAGCCACTAAAATTAGGAAATTTATAGTATGCTGGTGGAGAATAAAAATGAGCTTTAAAATAACTCATTTGTGTTCTGATCCTTGTCATGAGAATTCTTCTCCACTCATGACAATATGCTCCTTCAACAATAAGTAGTCATATTCCCTTGAACCAACTATTCCATATCCATTTCACCTAATAAAAATATTTACATCCTCTCACTGGATCAGCTGGTGTAATTGAGATACCACTTAAAGATGATCCAAGTACCCCACTTTCTCTCCAGGAGACCAGGGGCTCCTTTGCTGTCGCATCGTATACTCAGCTCCTGGAACAGAAACAGGTACAAAGGAAGTATCTGACAAATACTCCGTAAATAAGACAATCGACTCATTCTGAATCTGTTGTTTCATGAGTCCGTCTTCATGGTATAAACTTCTGAGAGTTTCTGGGAGACATCCCAGTTTTCAAATAACCCTTCACCCTGGCTTGGGGAAACTGAACCAATATGTACTGCCCATAGCCCACCAATCCAGTATTGACTCTTTAGCAACATTCCAGATGCAAAATATGTTCTAAAAATTCACTTTATTTCCTCCACTTAGCTTCTTTTGTTCCTTTGACAGGACAGAGAACCTAAACTATGTTTGAGTTAACATCAGGCTACACCTCTGAATCAATGCACATATTTAATATCATGAGAATCAGGTCTTCCCAGTCTCAGCATCTATACAATTTCTCAGTATTTGCTTTTCATACATAATACGAGCTAGAAATTTGGCTCCAATCTTTTACACATAGAAAAGCTCACTTTTCTCCTACTGGTTTCCTGGGACATAAAATAAGACATAATTGATCACTGAAGGTGTGACCACGCTCACTGCATTCACGGGGTTTCTGTTCTGTGCAAATCCTCCCGAGGGCGCACATCTGGCCACAGGCTGGCCCACTATGACTACGTTCCTGTTATTTAATGCTGTCTGAGGGACCAAACAAGGCACCCGCACTGTCACGGTATTAACAAGATTTTTCTCCTGCAGGATGACACTGGTCTGTGATGAGCTGTGACTCTCCGAGGGAGGGTTTTCTACCTTGATTGAGTGAATTTTCTGATGTTCATTGAGGACTGACTTTGCTCTGAAGGATTTTCCACACTCATTACATCGATAGGGCCGCTCTCCTGTATGAATTCTCTGATGAACGATAAGCTGTGGCTTCCCAATAAAGGCTTTCCCACAGTTGCTGCACTCAAAAGGTTTCTCTCCTGTGTGAATTCTTTCATGTTTAATTAGACCTGTCTTCTGGGAACATGATTTTCCACATTCACTGCACACAAAGGGAGTCTTTCCTGTGTGAAATCTCTGATGTGTTGTGAGGGATGTCTTCTGGCTGAAGCCTTTTCCACATTCGGTGCATATATAAGGTTTCTCGCCTGTATGAGTCCGGAGATGTACTATGAGATTGCCCTTCTGGATGAAAGCTTTTCCCACAGTCACTGCATATAAAGGGCTTCTCTCCTGTATGTATCTTATAATGTATATTGAGCCGTGATTTTGTCAGGAAGGCTTTGCCACACTCAGTGCATTCATATGGTTTCTCTCCTGTGTGTGATCTGCGGTGTTCGTTTAGTGTGACCTTTCTGAAGAAGGCTTTCCCACATGAACTACACTGATAAGGCTTTTCTCCTGTATGAAGATTCTGGTGATCACTGAGCAAACATTTCTTCATGAAAGCTTTCCCACATTCATTGCAGACATGACGTTTCCTTATTTTCTGGGATTTCTGATGCTTCATGAATTGGGACTTAGTGTGGATAAGATTTTGGCTTTCAAGGGATTTTACTTCAGTCCCAAATGGTTCACTGTTAGCATGGAGGAAGGATTTCCCATCTCCAGTAAGCTCAGCACAGTTCTCTATTTCATTGCTTCTGCTCTGGTTAAGTAAAGTTAAATCTGATTTCATACTTTCTCCATGTGAGCCAAATACATCATGATTTTGACGTAACAGAAAATGAGTTTTGCTCTGATGGACAGAATTGTCTAATGTGTTACGTTTGTGCCATTGTTCTACATTGTTCTCCGTGTTTCCATCTTGGAAGTGCTCTAGCACATGAGTATCAACTTTCCAGATTCCTGTGAAAGAAAAGAACAAACAGGTCACCCATCAGCTTGATTTGGGAGACAGGTAATTAAAAAAATACCTTGATGTGAGGTGTTGTTTTTAGTGATGACGCCATGATGTGAGTTTAAATAAATTTCCACATTTAATGTTCCTTGTACATTGGAAAAAACAGAAAATGAAAACACGGGCTACTTTCTAAATATGGGCCTTGCCAAACGTGCAGAGACTGTAAAACGTTAGGAAGTTACTATAGCAGTGGACCATGGGTGTGAGGGCCACCTCATCCTAACTGGTGAGAAACACTCACTCTCTCCATATTACTAACCGATGGCTACTGTGGACCAGGCGTGGTTCTAGGATGGGGATACAAAACATAGTCCTCACATTCACGGAGCCTGCGTTGCACTTCGGTAAAACCAATCAAAGGGCAAAGGCAGACACAAGGGAAACAGGGACATGTGAAAGCTCACAGGAGATGGAGAGGGACAGAGGAAATCAGGCTGAATTTGGGAAGCCAGCACTCCCTGTTGTGGGTGGCATGGCGGGAATGAACAATGACACAGCAGAGCTCCTAGCACCTCTGAAGAGCAACCTATACCTCAGAGAGGTGTTCCATTTTGTCCGAGATCAACCCCAGCTTCAGCACTTAGTGTTCCATTATGCTGACTTAATTTCATTACAGCACACTTCACTCCATCTACACAGTATTTATTTTTTAATTTTGATGGATTTTATGGCTCTTTAGAATGAAAGCATTTAGTTTATTTGTATGGTTTTTCAAACTGGTGGATAATCCCCGCATACACTAGGCTATGAAAAAATAATTTATAAAAAGGTGAAGGAAGCAATCACATGCATAAAACATAGTTTAGAAGATGGCAACCTCTCCATGAATAAGATAGACTACATCACAGAGATCACTGAAAGAAAATTTCATGTCATGTGAGAGGTAATATGGTTAACTGGGACTTAATGGCCTCAGAATATGATGGGACAAAAACGAAAGCATTCAGGAAGTAAAACAGTAGTAATTTCTATGATAAACTGTAAGGAGGATCAGAATTAGTAAAAAAAAAAAAAAACAAAGGGATTAAATAGAAGTAGGCAAGACTTATGGTCTGGTGTAGACCGGAACTGAGAACATAGGCTGTTAAAATACCTTTTCTAGTTAAAATTCATCAGAAACAGCAAACTCCTTTAAAGGAGAATGGGAAGGGTACATTGGAGGTAATGCCTGGATGGCCCAGATGTAAGATGCGCAGGAGTGAAGGAGAACATAAACCTTTCAGGGTTTCCTGGAAGGGAAGGGAAGGTGATTCTAGGTCCTCGCAGGTTTTGGGAGCCCAGGAGAGTTGCCATCGAGATGAGTAAATCCTACAGAACTAAACAGAGTCTATGGTGGATCACACGGGGAGACAGCAATTGGGATGTCTTATCCAGTGATTAGAAGCTTAGCGTATTAGAAAGAAGAAAACACTGAAGGGTTAGCAGATAAAAAAAAAAAAAGAAAAAAGAAAAACAAAACCTTTAGAGAACCTCAGAGTGGGGATAAAGGCACAGCGAAGACCAGTTCACCCTGTGGGCACAGCATCAAGATGGGTGGATGTTGGGAAGGGAAGCCATTACTCATGGGATTGGAAGGTACAGTTGTCAGAGGACAGAGAGTAACTCGGAGTTTTGTCTTTGGAGGGAGGCCTTGGACGGTGGAATCACATAGCAAGGAAGGTACAAGAGTAAGAAAAAGGAAAGATTTGAGAATCCTAGAAAAGAGAAAACTATGTAAACCAAATAATCAAGATGTAGATAAAACGCAGAATGAACAGATCCCAGAAAAGATAAAAGGCTATAGTTTCTGTAAGCTCCTTAAAGAAAAAGCGGTGTCCCATCAGAAGAGACAAGCACGGTGGCACTGCTTACCTGTCCTCAAACCCCCTCACGTCTGTGACTCTTCTCTCAATGACTAGAATGGCATTTCCACGCCTGCCCCTTGCTGGTTCTCTCACTCACCTGAACGGGATCGAGGGTGGACTTCGTCTGCCATTGTCCATGGTGGTTCTCCTTGATCCAGCTGGAGAGTTTTTCAGGTTTGCTGGCTTGACAACCTGTTCATAGAAAATGATAGAAGACTTAGATGCACTGAATTGGGCTCGCAGGTCTGAAGTCTGCAGGATGTTACATCTGACAAACAATTCTCACACCTACAAAGTCAAGGCTCTTTTCTCAGGAGAAGGGAGAATACAGCCATTTCTCTGGAACCAGAGTGGGCACTGAGACGCGTCTACCACTTCAGGGCATCGCGGACCCTCCAGAGCTTTCAGGAGCTGAGGAAGGAAAGATCACTGACCGGGCACCCTCGGAGTGACACAGGGGAGCTGTCCTCACCCAATGACATCAGGTTGCTGTAGTTCTCCAACATCACGTCCCGGTACAGGTCCTTCTGAGTGGGGGCCAGGAGCTGCCACTCCTCCCAGGTGAAGTCCACGGACACATCGTCAAATGTCAGGGACTCCTGTAAGAACACCGTGCGGTTTAATGGAGTGATGTCCTTTTGAAGATATGAAAGAAATGTTAGTTTTTCTGCTCATTTCCACTTTATAGGCAGCATCTAGATATCAAATGGAGTTTTAATATATAGTATATGTAAATAAAAAAGATGTTGTATATGTGAGGGGTGTGTGTGTGTGTGTATATATATATATACATATATATATATATATACACACACACACACACGTACACACACACGTATATATATATATATATATATATACACACACACACATACACACAGCCTGTATACTTTCAGATTGACAGAAGTGGTTTTTCATAGGTCTCTAGAAATCCACTAAGGAACAAAGGATGGAATAAACCAAACCCAGTGTCACCTGGGCCTGGGGCATTTTCTTCTAATTTCTGAAAACAGCTCACAACGACGAGGCTCTGCCTTGGTGTCTTCTGGAACCACTCTAAATTTCTGTCTCGAAATCTCAGTCTTCAGTCAGGTGTCTGTCTCCCTGGACATGCTGACACCCAACCTAACTTCTTCCTCTCTCAGTTGATTCTTTTGCTCCTGGGTGTCAAGCTACCTGTGCATTGAAAAAATTCAATTTGAATGATTCGTTTCAGCTGGACCCAGATGCTACAATGTTCCTGAGCACTCATCTTCACACAATGCCACAGTATCTGAGGAAAGTGTCCCTCTTTACATGGGGTCCTGGAAGAATTTATACCTCTGGCCAATAAACTAAAGATTCTGTGGTGGGAGATGTAGTCCTTTTCTGTGGAGTTTAAGAGAAGTGACTATGAAAAGAGATGAGCAAAATGACATTGTAGAGTCAGAATAATTTTTGTCTTCTTCCCTTTAGGTCCTATGGCTGGTCTAATAATTAAATTGGTAAAACACAGATTAACAGGAGAAAAACAATCAAACATTTAGTAACATTTACATCTCTTGTCTATATGGAAGAGATCCGGGAAAACTGAGTAACTCGACAAATGGAAATCATCACCTTATACTACCTTCAACTAAAGACAAAAGATGCTGGGGGTGGAAGTTGTTAGGGGAGGTTACCAGGAACAGCACAAAAACAAGATTAGATTGTTAGGCGAGAATTGAAGTCCCAACCTTCTCCACTGATAGTGAAAGTGGGCCAGGTACACTGAGGGAGATGCCCTTACAAACGTAAATGTTCGTTACTAAAGGAAAATTCTACTAGGTTTTCAGAGCTTCTCTCAGGACTACAGTTTTTGTAAATTACACAGCCTAAAATGATCAATATCCCAAAGACGAATATTTTAGGGTGGCAAAATCTGATGCCCTTCAGATTCAAGGAATTACTTATCTAGAAGAAAAATGTTCACCATAAATCACTAAGCAAATTTTCACCATTATAACTGGCTAGAAGGGACCATTTACTCACTCATTTCATAGTAATTCAGTCACTAGGGATGGGAGTTGGAACCACCATGATTGACTAAGATGGATCAAGACTTACTAATAAACTAGGTCATGGGTCACCTTACCCAGAGGATAGATACTAAACGATGTGGAGATTCTGTTAGCAAAAAAAAGAAAGGAAGAATGTATGTCAGGCAAATATGTCCGCTGCTGTGAATTAAGAAGTGAGTTCAGACGTTAGCAAACATTTTCTGTAGAGACAGCTACGCTTTTCCACTTGCAGGTCAAAATGTCTGTGTCACAATGACCCATTTCGGCCTTTGCAGCCCGAAAACTGCCACAGAAGATATGAAGCAGCCGGGCTGTTGCTGGTTTAGCCCCTCAGTCTGCAGTTAGTCAACTTCTGTTCTAAAAACTAGATGGTTTCGAATGACTGCCACGGGCTGTACCTCCTTAGTTCCAGCAGCAGCCAAGGTCCTGACCTTAAGCAAACACCCGGGGTCTAGGCGTCCAAAGCTTCACCCTCACAAGCCTCTCTGGACCACACACATGGACTGCACACTTCATTATTATCCATCGGAAACCGGGGCCGGACACCCCCATGTGATGAATCCACCCCGACCCCAACATCACTGGGCCCCACACTGAATCCCCAACCTGAACCCGAACACGTGATCATCCTAAATGCCACCTGCACCCCCTGCAAGTGGAGTGACCTGCATGCAGAGCCCCGTAACCTGACGATCGGGACGAGGGCGTTGATCTGCACAGGACTTTGGTCGTTGTGCTGCACCCCAGGACACCCCGACCACGGAGAAACGCGTCTGGCTCCCCGGAGTCCTTAAATCCCGTTCCCACCTGGTTTTGCTGAACTCCCGCCACCTCGGCGCTTCCACCCTGCCGCTCTGCAACCTGGCGATCACTCCATGGCCCACACTACAGCACATCCACACGTCGCCCTGAGAGAAACACAACGCCTACTGTGACCCAAAACTAAATTCGTAAGAAACTTCCAGGGGCAAAACTACAAACCGACCTGATTCTCCCCAGACCCACAAGAAGAGTGCACACGGTGCACTTCCGAGAACGGTTTCAACTTCGGGACCGCTCCTGCTCCGTCTACGGCGGCCGACGAGGACCCGCGGCCAGCTGGATTTCCGGTGTGGCCCTCGGCGGCAATATGGCCGCGCCCGGCTCGCCGTGTTGCCATGGGGGCGGCCATGTTGGGAGACTGAATTACGTACAGACGGCAAACCCGCGGCTTTGGGGCCAGTAGCGGGGGGCGGCGGGAAGGTAAGAAGCCACTGAACTTTTCTCGTCTCCTGGCACTTCGACTTGGGCCGAAAATGGGTAAATTCTCAGAACTCTGCGAGGTAAACAGGGTGTGCGTTAAGTTGCTTCCAGCGGGGCTGCGCTGAGCAGCACTGGGGCCGCGGAGCACATTCTCCACCTTGTGTACGAAAGAAAAAAAAAGTTTACAAACGGACGACCAGGAGTTTGGGTTTCAGTACAGCAGGCAGAAAAGGCACTCCTAGAAACGGACGAGATAATACGTCCTGTAAACGGACATCCCTGGAAAGCCTATGGCCGGAAAATAGTTTGTAGGAAGCGGTTTTTAAGGGGAGAACAAGATTTTCAGAAACTGGGTACAGCCTGGGGCTCGACGTCACGTTCAAGGGGAAAAAGAGTGGTTGGGAGGAGCCTAAGTTGTCACTGGAGTGGAGATTCGGGTACAAACCCACTAAAATGAGGCCAGGAAAGGTCTATAATGCATGGGGAGGGCCCAACCCGAATCCGTTCCATTAAAATGCGAGGCTGATGATGGGGACACTAACCCAGGATTTAGGGCGGGGAATGTCAAAATGAGGTGTGCTTCGGCGGCTGTTAAAAATGGAGTCCTGGACTCCAGCCCCAGAGGTTCTGGTTCATCAGGGGTGGGATGTGACTGGGGAATTTGCATTCAGGTTGCTGAGGCAGGAACCCTGTCAAAGTGAGTCATTAGGAAGAGTCCTGTGTGGGGCTCCCCGTGGGAATCACTTCATAAATTACATAAATGTCTAATCACTAGGTTACACACCTGAAACTAACATAGTTCATGTCAACTGCGTTTGAAAAAGAAATCTTTTTAAAAACAAAAAAGAAACGAAACGGCCCTTGAATGTTGTCTGGTTATAAATATTATGATGCATGACTCCACTCAGTACTTCAGCGTTGGCTCAAATTTTAAGTTATATCCGGAAAAGGTGGTGGTGGGGCGAAGGCAGGAATAAAACCTCCCTCATTACAACCTATACGTTACTATCTATTACTAGGCTTTATTTTTCCTCATAGGAGTTATCACTTCTTGACATTATATAATCCACTTACTAGATCGTAATGTCCACAATGGCTGTGTCCTTTGCCTGTTGCATTCACTGATGTCCCCTCTGTGTAGTACAGTGCCTTGCACAGTGCTGGTGCCTTAAAGCGGTGGCCCCCACCTTTCTGGAGCCAGGGACTAGTGCTCCTGTGAGAATCTAATGCCTGATGATCTGAGGCGGAGCTGAGGCGGTGATGCTAGCGCTGGGGAGCCAGCGGCTGTAAGTATAGGCAAAGTCCTGGTTTCCCAACCCAATTTGCCTTCTCCACATACCACCTCCATCACCATCAGTTTCATGTCCACTGTTCTCTTTAATTATGGCAAAGCTTCTCAGCATCACCCTTCATTTGTTTCTCACTCATACACACCGCCATCTACCTCAGGAATTGATCACACCTGCTCTCCTTTATGAATACACCCAGAACTGGACCAACACCCACCATTCCCGCCTGGTTGAAGCCATCACCCTCTCATATGAGAGCAGTAACTGCTGCGTCCAGCAAGTGGCAAATCCTGTTTCCTCATAGGAGTTATCACTTCTTGACATTATATAATCCACTTACTAGATCGTAATGTCCACAATGGCTGTGTCCTTTGCCTGTTGCATTCACTGATGTCCCCTCTGTGTAGTACAGTGCCTTGCACAGTGCTGGTGCCTTAAAGCGGTGGCCCCCACCTTTCTGGAGCCAGGGACTAGTGCTCCTGTGAGAATCTAATGCCTGATGATCTGAGGCGGAGCTGAGGCGGTGATGCTAGCGCTGGGGAGCCAGCGGCTGTAAGTATAGGCAAAGTCCTGGTTTCCCAACCCAATTTGCCTTCTCCACATACCACCTCCATCACCATCAGTTTCATGTCCACTGTTCTCTTTAATTATGGCAAAGCTTCTCAGCATCACCCTTCATTTGTTTCTCACTCATACACACCGCCATCTACCTCAGGAATTGATCACACCTGCTCTCCTTTATGAATACACCCAGAACTGGACCAACACCCACCATTCCCGCCTGGTTGAAGCCATCACCCTCTCATATGAGAGCAGTAACTGCTGCGTCCAGCAAGTGGCAAATCCTGCCATGTCCGGCGTGGCTCTGGAGAATGTACCTGAGTGGGAACAGTGGGAGATTAAGAAAAGAAAGAAGACAGAAAGCTGGGATCAGGAGGTCCACTGTCCACTGATGGTGGAGCAATGGCTCTTTTATACAAGAGCTTACAGTTGCTGGCTAAGATAAGATCATCCTCTGCACAATCACCCACCCCACACCCTGATCTAATGCCTGATGATCTGAGGCAGAGCTGAGGCGTTGATGCTAGCGCTGGGGAGCCAGCGGCTGCAAGTATAGGCAAAGTCCTGGTTTCCCAATTCAATTTGCCTTCTCCACATACCAACTCCATCACCATCAGTTTCATGTCCACTGTTCTCTTTAATTATGGCAAAGCTTCTCAGCATCACCCTTCATTTGTTTCTCACTCATACACACCGCCATCTACCTCAGGAATTGATCACACCTGCTCTCCTTTATGAATACACCCAGAACTGGACCAACACCCACCATTCCCGCCTGGTTGAAGCCATCACCCTCTCATATGAGAGCAGTAACTGCTGCGTCCAGCAAGTGGCAAATCCTGCCATGTCCGGCGTGGCTCTGGAGAATGTACCTGAGTGGGAACAGTGGGAGATTAAGAAAAGAAAGAAGACAGAAAGCTGGGATCAGGAGGTCCACTGTCCACTGATGGTGGAGCAATGGCTCTTTTATACAAGAGCTTACAGTTGCTGGCTAAGATAAGATCATCCTCTGCACAATCACCCACCCCACACCCTGCTATGATCTTTTGCAGTTCTGTCTGCTTGAGGCTATGAGCATACACCCGTCTCAGAGCAACACCACATTGTTCCCAGAACAGTTCTTACTTCTCCATTCTTAGGAGGGTTCGTTGTGGCGAGGCAACCCTTGGTTTACCTCACAGATTGCAAGGACCTTGTCAGCTTACAATCTGCTCTCCACAATATACCCTCAGGGAAGTTACAAATACTGATGATGGGAATATATGAGTATGTGCATGAACTCTGATCTATATTTGTCTGTGTTATATGTAATATGGTGGTTCAGTAAAAATTCTAATTATGATGGAAAGGAAAATATTTTTGGTAACAGAAGGTATAAAGTATGGAGATTTATTTTGAATGGAATTGGAGGAAAGGTGTTTGTCTTAAAGTTGGTTATTTGTGAATGAGTGGGAAGAAGCGAACTAAAGGAATGAGGCAAGTGGTAGAAGGTTTGTGAAGAGAAATCCTGGGAGGAAATTTTTGTGATTAAGCTAAAGAAAATTGGAAATTTAAATGCCAAAAGTAAGCTAATGCAAAATTAGAATTGTTTTAATATTTCATAGACTATTGGTCTGCTACTGATGTTATGGAAAAGTTTTCTGAGTAGAAAACAAAGATGCTATGCTTAATGAAAATAATTTCTGTGTTTTATGTTGCCTTAACCAGTTTTCTGAGACTTTTAATATTGGCTCAAAGTCTGCGGGCCAGACACTCCTGGCTATACATTTCGACACTTG